GGAATTGCTTGCCCAGGTCCTCTGCTGGCCTTGAACTCACAGAGATCCACCTGCCTCTGCCTCCTGAGTGCTGTGATTAAAGGTGTGCACCACCATGCCCGGCATAGTTTTTAAAATTTTTTATTTATTATTGTGTGTGTGCATGATGTGTGTGCATGCTTGTATGTCACAGTGCATGTGTGGAGGTCAGGGGACAACTGTGTGGAATTGGTTCTCTCCTTCCTCATTTTCATGGATTCTGGGAATAAAAATCAGGTCTTTAGGCTTGTGCAGCAAGCTTACACATGGAACCATCTTGCTAGCACAGTAATTTTTAGTATGCTTACAGAAATAAGTCCTTTCATGTTGAAGTGGACAAGAGAACATGAAAACTTAACCCACAGAGTGGACTTTCACAACTGAAAGTCAAAATTTTCTAGAGCTTTCAACTTTGACTTTTTTTTTTGTAGAGAAATAAAAAATTCTAATTTTTACTGGCTGTTAGTTAACTTACTGTTAGGCCAAACTGGATCCCAAGATGGAGTCATTGCTGACCAGAAGCATGGCAATCACAACCTGGTGGGCAGCATTCCTGGAAACAGAAACTAAACTTACCTTAGTTTCTCAGTAACTGCCTGACCCTTGTTTTTAACAATGCACTCTATCACAGCAGCAATTTTCCATCACAGCCACCTGAAAAGCTGAAAAACACCTAACTGAAACTGTCCCCTACCAAGGCACCTGCTACTGATTCACCCTCAACCTCTCCTGCTACAGCCCCACCACCCCCTACCCACAAAAGAAAGAAATCTTATAGAACCCAGCTACTGTGACAAGAAATCTCTGTCTTTCTCTTTCACGGAAGAAGGCTAGTGTTAAGGTTCAATTAGCCCTGATCACTCACCAACAGGGTCCCAAGGACTTCTCATGCTCCTGAGAAAAGGGAACCTAGCTGATAAGCACCCTGGTCTTTGAAGTCAAGAGAAGCAGACTTTTCTCCACTGTTTGGCCAACACAGCAGGCTTCCCCTTTGATCTCCAAAGAGGACAGGTTTTAACAGTCCTGCTTTCTCACTGGCCCCCAAACCAACTTTAAAAAAAAAAAATCTTCCCGCCTTCTGCAGGAAGCAGAAGCCTCCCTTTTAAAAAGACCCCAGCTCAAGACCCGGGCAGACATTTTCCCTGCCCAGAAGGGAATCTGTCCCATGTGTCCCTTTGCTAATAAACTCTATTTTGATGGAGTTTTAGCTGTGCCTCGGTGCCTCATCATCCATTCGCTTGTTCTCCACCAACTTTTTACCTATCAGCTAGTCCAGCAGCTCATCTTTATGGCCGGGACATCTCCAACTCACTGATAAATAAGTTTTATGGTTGGGACATCTGGCTTAGTGATAAGTAAGCTCCCCGCTCTCCCTGTAGCATTTTGTAATAGTTTAAATGAACCAATAACCGCGTTTCTGCTTCTGTACCCTGCTTCTTCCCTATAAAAGCTCCCCAAACCCGACCTGAGGCGCGCAAGTCCCCCGAGGAGACTTTGTGCCCACAGGTACCTGTGTACTTAATAAACCTCTTGCTGTTGCAACCCGAAGGCTGGCTTGTCCTCTGTGGTTTTTTCCCTCCTACAATCAATAGTTTAAATGAACCAATAACCGCGTTTCTGCTTCTGTACCCTGCTTCTTCCCTATAAAAGCTCCCCAAACCCGACCTGAGGCGCGCAAGTCCCCCGAGGAGACTTTGTGCCCACAGGTACCTGTGTACTTAATAAACCTCTTGCTGTTGCAACCCGAAGGCTGGCTTGTCCTCTGTGGTTTTTTCCCTCCTACAATCCCTTCCAATAAATTCTTTTCTTGCCTCAGAATGGTCTCTAGTGGTCCTGGTCTTTTCATGAACCTAACGCAAGTTCACATTTGACAATTTTGTCTTTATTTGTTAACCACTGCAGTATAGCTGTTTTCTTTTGTTTAGAAAAATTCTTTTTGAACAAAACTCAAGAAAGAAAGCTTTCCATGTTGACACTTAAGGGCTTTCTTTGATACCAGATATTCCTTTATTTTTGGACCTAATGATGTTTCTGTTGAGGATGACATGAATACATTTCCATTTATTTGATATTTTTCACAGAAGACCATATAATACTTTTTGTCTTCTCAGTTCTTATTATGAGATTTTTTTCCATGGTCCTATGTGTAGTTTTTACAAATCCTATAAACTTTTAAAAAGAGTGTAGTCAACTGGACAAATTCATTCCTTTGCGAGAAAGTCTGTCCTGGTCATTTCAAATAATGTGCAGTATGTTTCATCTGCATTGATATCATGACTTGGTTCCTAGCTGGTGGTGCTGTTTTAAACGTATGGGACCTTTAGGAGGTGGAGCTTTGCTGGAAGAAGTGGGTCACTTCCACTTCTGTCCATTCTCTACTTCCTGACTGTGGAAGCAATGAGACCATCCACTCCACACTTCTACAGCTATGCCATCCCTGCCTTAATAGGCTGTATTGCCTTGTGCTATAAGCCCCCAAATAAACACTTCTCACTTAGAAGAAGGGTGGGGGGTCATCCAGCAGCAGTTAAGAAGTGTTTTGAACTCCTTGAAAGTGAAAACAGTAGAAGTAACAGAGACAGAATATATACCATGTAAGTGCAGGTCCCCAAGGAGTCCAAAAGAGGACATTGGATACCTTAGAACTGGAGTTATAGGTGATTGTGAGCTTCCTAATGTGGGTGCTGGGAGCTGACCTATGGTCCTCCGGAAGAGCAGCAAGTGCTCTTAACTGCTGAGCCATTTCTCCAGCACCCAAGACTTTTTCTTTTTCTGTTTAAATTTGTTTGTTTGTTAACTAATTTATTTATTTATATTTATAGGAGTGTTTTGCCTGCTTACTAAGTGTACTTCTGTCATCCAAGGCCCATAGAGCCCGGTCTTCTCTAACACCCTCTTGGGTGTTAGATCCCCCAGAACTAGAGTTAAGGATGGTTGTTAGCTTACTTGTGGGTGCTGGGAACTGAACCCAGGGTCCTTTGCAAGAGCAGCCAGAACTCTTAACAGTTGACTCATCTCTCCAGCCCCCTGTGTTTTTTTTATTCCTTTTTATTTTTAATTTTATCTGTATGCATGTATTGCCTGCATGTAGGAAAGTGCACCTGTGTCGTACAATGCCCACGGAGGTCAGAAGAGGCTGTTGGATCTCCTGGGACTGGAGTTGCGGGCAGTTATTAGCTGCCATGTGGGTGCTCGGATTTGAACCTGCGTCTTCTGCAAGAACAACCAGTGTTCTTAACCGCTGAGCCATCATCTCTCCAGCCCCTTCCTGTGTTTGTTTTTTAAATGATTATTGTATGGCATTTTTCCCCCCTTAGGACATGACGCAATGCCAACTTGAAGTAGATTTTAACTTAACTTGGTAGGGTAGCTATGACAGCAGTTGACCACAATATAGTGAGGGCCAGATCTATGACAATGGTAATGGAACTATTGACACCCTTAGTGGAAGGAAATAGGAGAGGATTATGGGTTCCTCACCTGGGACTCCTTCTGACCCTCCCCTAGCTGCAAGTGATCATGGAAGAGGCTAGAGAATCAAGAAGTATAGGGTTACTGGAAGGAGTACCCCATGATGAAGCTTTTATGACATTGCTGCCCATGACAGGGTGAAACTTTGCATTGATACAACTGTGGTGAGGTCACCCATGGTCTTGTAAGGAACCTGTCATGCTTTTTGAATAAGCTCAACAGACTCATTGGTTTGCCAAGTTGGACTTCAGTGGGATTGTTACTGTAAGGTTTTGAGCCTGTCTCTTTCAGCCTGGAACTCACACCCTGAAGAATCAGGCCTAGCTGTCTCCAAGAGCTAATAGGTCCCTGCTGGGAAAAGTAAACTCACAGTCAGACCTATCTGTCTCCCCCAAAGCAAACTTGAGACAAAGGAGACACAGGTCCTCCTTCCCTCTTCCCCCAGACTCCCTAACAGACAGTAAGAAGGACAGAAGATAAACTTTCTCCTGGTTCCGTAAGTCCCTGACTGAATTGTAGTCAATCTATTACACTTGAGTCATGTACTCTACAGTTAGACCATATGCTATACAGCACCCACTCCAGGGAAAACGTTATACTACTTAGGCTTTCTCTTTGTTTCTTAGGAAACTCCATTGCCCTCACCTTCCTGCTGGCTCATGGGAGTCAGAGTCTTCCCATATAGAAGCATACATGTGACTTAAGATGCTGTTCTTCCACTTGAGTCTTGCTTCAAAGCCTAACTGGTAACCAGCTCATTTTTGAACCCTCTGCTGATTGCAGCTGTTGCTGTAACTGTTACTAAACAGTTATTTTGGTCTGTCATTGGTGCTTTATCTGGCTTCAATAGATATTTGTTCATGTCTCCCCCAGGAAAAGTTGATGCAACAATGATAAAAATGAGAATTTTATCAAATTATAAGCTAGTGAGTTAATGTTAGTTGGGGGACAGAATCGCGAGACTTAGTCTGTCTCTTGACTCCTGATCCTCCTGCCTCCGGCATGTGAGTTACTCTTTTTGGCTGAAAATGTGCTGCCTTGAGAGATAAGATATGCACAATTCAGCGTGCCTTGCTGAAATTCCTGATCACTGGAGGAAGTCACATCCTATTTCAATTTCACCAGTGCTAGGAAGGGTACCCCTTCCAGCTCTGAGGTAAGAGGATCACGCCATTGAACACTGAGTGTGTAATAGATTGTGCACACGAGTGACTCCGTGCCCAGGAAGTAAAACAGGGAATGTCTGAGTGCAAGATGACAGCGAGGGTAGGACAAGTTATATTTAAATGCATATCTCCCTGGAGGTGGGCCAAGTCTGCACCACCTGGGGAGGAAGCCAGGGCTGAGAGGGACTGCGGCAGACGTGGCTCTTCAGGTTCACTCGCTGCCGGAAGGTGCTGCTCCCGTCACTCAGGCTTCGTCAGCCAATCAAGGCCTCTGCGCGAGCCGGCCTATCAGGCGCGAGGGGGCGGGGCCAGGGGCGGGGCGGGGGAGGTCCTACTTCCTGCTATCTTACTGAAAATTGCATTCTGGCTAAGAAGTGGCTGCGCCTGTGTGGGCTGTGCTGTAAACGCCCAGCGGAGAGCCGAGGAGAGTACGGGCTAAGCCGGTAGCCAGGCCGTGGTGAGCGTGGGGCCAGCTGTGTGCAGACGCCAGCGGCGGCCGCTGGAGCCCCAGTGTGAGCTGTGCTGGGTCCTCCCCGGGCAGGGGAGGGGGCGCGGCGGGGGCGGTGGGGGCAGTACCCAGCGTCCTCTGCGGTTCCTGCTGTGACCTCGGCCCGGCTCCGCGGTCTCTAGGCAACTTCGCCCGGTGGGCCGTGCCTTCGCTTGATGTGAGCCCGAGACTACCCCAGCGAAGGCTAAGCTTCGGTTGTAGGTGAAGTCTGAGTGGCCCTCCCGAGCACAGGTGATGCTTTTTTTTTTTTTTTTTGAAGGCAAGGGTCTCACTTTGTAGCCCCGGCTGGCGTTGAACTTGCTCTCTGTAGACCAGATTGGCCTCTTAATCACAGTGAGTGATCTTTCTGCTTCTGCCACCGAGTGCTAGGACTAAAGAAGTGCTAGGCACAGGTGGTGCTTTGGATCTCGCCCTGCTAGGAGGTTGCTGAACTCTAGGCGCTGTATTCTCGGTGGGTAGGTTTCTGGGTTTTCTGTTATGTTTAGTCTTTCCCAAGTGTTAGTGCTCGATCTTGATTATTGCAGTATTATGGGAAGTCCTAAAAGTCAGTGTCAGTGTGTGAACTATTTATTCGACAGTATTGCATTGACCATTCTCATTCTTTTCCTTTTTCATAAAAGCTTTACGATCAGTTTTCTTTTCTTGACAGACAGCATAATCGTTAGGATTTCTGTTGGAATTGTATTGAATCTGTAGTTCAAATAGAAGGCTGACATCTTATTATTGAAACCTCCTATCCATGATTGTACAAATCTCTATTGAGTTCGTGAGTTCAAATGACTTTTTATTAGAAGTGTATAGTTGTTGTCTATAGATGTTTATTACTTTCCTATGTAAATTTTTTTTTTATTTTGGTTTCCTTTTGTCTTTAGTGCCAAATAGGGAATGGAGTACTTATAGTTTCACATCCAATTCATTACTCATATACATTAAAATGATAGTCTTTTGTATATTAGTCTTGTGTTTCACAAGTATATTAGAAGGCTTTTTTGGGGGGGGGCGTTAATTCCTGGGACAGTTTTACCCTTCCCCCCAAACTCAGTGACTCATGCCTCCTCTTCACTTACCAAATACATTTTTTGCACTTAACCGATATTACCATATGCTTTTATTTGTTGATATGCTGGATTACATTGATTGTTCACTCTTTTCTTTTTGGGTGCCTGAGATGGGACAGGTGCTTGCCCCTGCTTTATTGTGTTCTGCCATTGATTGAGCAGCTGTGGCCTGATTTTTCTTTTTCTTTTTTTTTTTTTTTTAAGACAAGGTCTCCCTGTAGTTCCAGCTGGCCTGGAACTTGCTGTGTAGACCAGGCTGGCCTTGATCTCACATAGATCTGCCTACCTCTGCCTCCCAAGTGCTGGAATGAGGGGTGTGTGCCACCAACCAAGCTCCTGAATTTAAAAAAAAAATTATTTATTCATTTATTTTTGGTCTTTTTGAGACAGGGTCTCTCTGTAGCCCCAGCTGGCCTGGAACTCACTGTGTGTACCAGGCTAACCTCGAACTCACAGAGATCCACCTGCCTCTGCCTCCCACATTCTGGGCTTAAAGGCATGTGCCATCACTTCCCGCCTTATTATTTTTATTTTGTGTATGAGTGTATTGCCTGCATGAGTGTAAGTGCACCCATGTCGTGCAGTGCCCATGGAGGTCAGAGGAAGACGTTGGATGCCCTGGAACTGGAGTTATAGATGTTTGTTAGCCACCCAGACTGCAGGAGCAGTCAGTACCCTTAACCTCTGAGCCATCCCTCCAGCCCCTGAATTTATTTTGTTATGATTTATTTTTATATGTGCATTTCTGTGTGAGTGTATACCATGTGTGTGGGAGTGCACACAGAAGCCAGAGAGGGCAATCCTGGATCCCTTGGGGCTGGAGTTATAGGTGACTTGAATGCTGGGAACTGAACTCAGGTCCTCTGGAAGAGTAATAAGGGCTCTTAACCACTAAGCCATCTCTACAGCCCCTGTATTGTTTTTTTTTTTAGTTGTTTTTATTCATTCAGTAGTGAAGACCCAACCTGTGACCTTGCACATACTAGCCAAGTGCTCTACCACAGAGACTACACATGCTTCTCTAGTTTTTCTTCATAATTCTTTTTTTTTTTTTTTGGTGTGGGTGGTGGGGGTTAGGGGTAGACTGAATAGACTGAGTCAGGGTCCCAATCTATAAGCCAAGCCAGCCTGGAACTCCTTCTGCCACCTACCGAGTGCTGGGATTATAGATGTGAGCCACAGTTACTGACTCTTTATAATCCTAAGGATAAGGCACTTTTTTGTCTTAGTGTATTTCCAGGGACTCTAAAATAATATTGAGTAGTAGTGGTTATAGTAGAGCAATATTGTGTATTTTAAAGGTTCTTTGAAAAAATAATTTGAATGTTAACTGACATACAGTAGCTGTGAGATTAGATGAGGGAAATTAATGCAAATCTTCTGGGACATTGAGCATGGATTAAATATTCCTAAAGCACTGTTAAGATCTGTTAAAATCACCAGTTCCTTCCTTCCTTTCTTCCTTTCTTTTTCTTTTTTGGTCTTTTTGAGACAGGGTCTTCCCTATAGCCCCAGCTGTCCTGGAACTCACTATGTAGACTAGGCTGGCCTTGAACTCACAGAGATCCGCCTGCCTCTGCTTCCCGAGTGCTGGGATTAAAGGTGTGCGCTACCACACCTGGCCCATTTTAAGTTCTTATTTTAAACATTTCTTGTGAACATTTTTCCTGTAAATAAGCAGGTATTGGGTCAGTTTGGCTCTGCCAGGACTGCATGCAAATAGACTTTTTGTTATCGCAAGCCTGTGTAACTGTAGATGACCTTGGAACCATTTCCATTTAGGAAAGTGGGGGAACCCTTCCCCTGCTGGGCTATCAGAGAGACTGTTGGAAATAGTGCTAAGGAAACCCTGCTGTGATTGGTGTGAACATGCCTACTCTGGCTTTATAAACTGTCTGTTCAGCTCACTTGATTAGTTAGCTGGGAGACACTGTTCCATGCTGTCTCACATGACATTGCAACATTAGGGCAAATGAAAGCCTTTGAATGATCTTAGTTTAGTAGTGCAGGTTGAGTTGGTAACAGGGAAAATGAAGCAGCAGTGTTACCAGTGGTAACTGAGCAGTAGGCAGGTTGAGCTGTAAAAGTGGCAGGGTGAGCCGGGCATGGTGGCGCATGCCTGTAGTCCCAGCACTTGGGAGGCAGAGGCAGGCAGATCTCTGTGATTTCGAGGCCAGCCTGGTCTACATAGCAAGTTCCAGGTCAGCTGGGGCTACAGGGAAGACCATAAAAAAAAAAAAAAAAAAAAAAAAAAAAAAAAAAGTGGCAGGGTGTCTGAACAGGTAGCTGATTGTGACGTCAGGGCAGAGATGTGGGAACTAGAATAGTCAAGACAGGACAGAGAGCTGAGGATGAAGAAGCATTAAAGGGCTTAAAGAGAGAAGAGACACTATAGGCCTTGGTTTCATTGTAAAGTTTTAGAGATCTGTCAAGTCTTCAGGGCATGGGGCCTCAGACACCCTGGGCCTGGGAGGTGTAACACTGGCTGCTGTCAAGGGGTTGACCCAACAGAAATCAGCTACCACCAAGGGCTAAGAAATCCTGACTTCCTAGACTTACACAAGAACGTCATACTTGCAGAGATAAGGGCTCTGGGACCTTAATCCACAGCTTAAATGTAGGTCATGACTCCATATAGGTCACATAACTGGGGAGAGGGGGAGGTTGTGAAATATTGGACAACAGTAAAATGTTTATAAACGTACCATGACCAACAAAATTCAAAATTGAGCATGTAATGCATCTGTGGTGTTTCTGGCAGCACTCACCAGTGTTGCATTGTGTGACCTCAACTCCAGTTTTTGGTTCTGAACACATGTGGGCTTTGCATCACAGTGCTCAACAACAAATGCTGCCTGAAAGACCTCAGCCTACACTGAGACTACTGTATGTTTTCAATGCAGTATTATTATTGTAATCCAAATTTTCTGATCTTTTTTTAAAAATATTTTTTATTTATTTTTATTTTATGTGTATGCATGTATTGTCTGCGTGTAGGTAAGTGCACCCGTGTCATGCAATGCCCGTGGAGGAAAGAAGAGGCTGCCAGATCCCCTGGAACTGGAGTTACTGACAGTTGTTAGCTGCCATGTGGGTGCTGGGATTTGAACCAGGGTCTTCTGCAAGAACAGCCAGTGTTCTTAACCGCTGAGCCATCTCTACAGCCCCAGATTTTCTGATCTTATAGAAATACACTGATTTAATTATGGAAAAGAAAGACTTAATCTTTTCCTATTCCTGTTCTTCAGCATTTAGGTATCAAATTAGTATATTTATATACTATGATAAAATGGCTGGTTTTTAAATTTTCTTTCACCTGGGTGTGGTTGTTTGTGTCAAAATCTGAGAACTTGAGCCAGGCATGGTGATGCACACATTTAAACTCATACTCAGGAGGTAGAGGCAGGCTTGTCTCTGTGAGAACAAAGCCAGCTTGGTCTACATAGTGAGTTCCAGGCCAGCTGAGGCTACAGGGAGACACTGTCCCAAAACAAACTGTAATACTGAATGATAAGTGCCACGTAGTTTGGTCGAATCAAGAGTCCTTTATTAGCCAGTGGTCAGAGAGGAGGTACTTCCTGAAACTGCCTGCATGAGATGTTCTGCCTGGCTGGCTGCAGGGTGGTTTGCTAGGCAAAAACACAGGGTAAAGCAAAAGTCAGCTTGCCATTTTATCTCCCCCTGGTCTTAGGGCAGAGAGAAAGCCTTAACTTAATAACGTCAGGCAGCAGGGCCTTGTACTGGGCTTTCAAGTACATTAATTTGACAGAGGCTGTCTGTTGTTTGATAAAGTTTAACAATGAGTTAATTAGGGAAGACCCAATCATTGAACCCAGGAGGTCCTATTAGACCTGACAAAAAGGTACAGCCATGGATTCCAGTCAAACCAGT